GATTAAAATAAACGATTAATAAAAATAATCGCACAGCCCTAGTCGGGACACCGGGACACTTTATTCAAATACGAAACAATCTTGTAAAATACGGGATATGTATGGGATCCTTAAACTTATTTAATGAGTTTTTAATAACTCATTTAATCGATGTTATTACTCAGTACCAGTGCGTCGTATGTTTTTGCGAGGCCCTAAGTAAAAATAATACAATTCCTTATACCTAAATATACCTACCTAACGACAAATTGTGGTCCCCCAAATTTATTTTCTGTGCGATGCCCTAGGTCATAGATTCTTAATCTTTTCTTAGTCATGGACCCCTTTAAAGCATAAAATAAAATCACGGACCCCCCCTGCAGAAAAAAAATATATGTATAGGTAAATAAATATAATTTTTATTATACGGCGACGGGTCAACAGAAGTGATAGGTTTCAGTGTTAAATTGAACTGCTCGTTAGAATGTATTGCCATGTTATATTATTTTACGATTACGATAGCTTTTTATGGCATATAAGATTATCGTAATCTAAGTTTTATATTTAAAAACATTATTGTCTTTCAAATGGCTTTCGAATGTTTTAATAATTATAATTATTTTAAAAATACTATCAAAACAAATTTATTTTGGCTTATTTCAAAAAAACTCACAGCCACCCCGTGGACCACCGAGTAGTCATCTACGGACCCCCAAGGGATCCATGGACTCCGGGTTAAGAACCTTTGCCCTAGGTGATCGCCTAAATTGCCAGCCCGCTCTAATGATGATATTACCCAGTACCCACAACTCACAATTTTAATAAATATTATTAATTGAAAATTGTTCTTGTATATTAATTCATCTCAGTAATGTGGATGCTGTATATATCGAAACGTACTTGATGGTTTTACATCGAATGTATGACATTAAGTTCCATGTTCGTACTTAAACAAGTAAAACATAAAATTTGTTTTCGCAATGCTTGAATGTCGTGCATTGCATTGCCATTGTACGCGACATTGATTATAAAGGTCTACACAGTAGCATGTATCTGACGGGGATGCATGGACTTCCGTAGGAATTTGTCAAGGGGAAAGGGCAAGGTATTTCAATTTTTTAATTTTTGTTTCATTATTTAATTAGTGATAAAATACCTTATTGTTTTTCACGTGTTTTCTATTATATAAGTAGAGAACGTAAAAAATGTAATTATTAATTATGTGTATAGTTAGAACGTTAGAACTTAATCTTACAGTATTAATTATAGTTAATTAATGTACAATACCAATGAAAAAGGCAAGGGGGTCAGTTGCCCCTACTTTCCCCCTGCGGACGCCTTTGCGGAGAGAGAGGGTGTTTAGGTAGGGACTAGGGGTCTTGCCATAGGCGTAACTTGAAAAGTTATTGGGGGGGGGCAAAAATATAATTACATATCTAACGATAAGGGTGTTCGAGGCTAAACGTCGCTTTACTACCTACAAATTATTATATAAAATTATTCATTTTTTAACATTATGTTAGATAAGCGAAAATTTAAAATTAAGATTTAAAAAAAAAAAAGTTATAGTAATAGTTATAACCAGCTGTTTTGTACTTATTTTAAAACAAGGTATGTTAAATATCAGAAAGAGCACTGCCCCTCCTAATTTATTCTAGGGGAGCAATTGACCTCCTTGCCCTCCTCACCAAGTTAGTGTAAAAGCCAGAAGGATGAATTCCGCCTTGATTGATTTTTTTTTTTGTATAATAATAAAGAATAAAGATTAAAAATAATACATTTTTATTAATGACATCTCCCCCATACCGAATTCATACGCACGCCACTGAAACAGATAATGATTTGGATTATAGTGAAGAGAATATCAAGGTGTAGACCTCGTAGTAGATCAACCGATAATATAATGGGCAAGTAGTTGAATCAGATTGGCAAAATATACCATTTGATAAAGAGAAATGGGAGGAAATAGTTTTGGCGGTAAAGTTACTCAATGGAAC